ACACACACATACACACACACACACACACTCATACACACTGTCTTTCTCTCTCTCTCTCTCTCTCTCTCTCTCTCTCTCTCTCATCAGCACCATCCTCATCATCATCATACGCACACTGTACAGAGATAGGCTACACTCTCACAATACGTGTATTCACATTGGAAAAAAAAATTCATTTCCTGAGTTTCTTTAGCCTAATAGATTTGTAGGTCTGCTAATGCACTAATATCTTATTATTTTCTTACATATTAATTTATTAAAGATTATTTTTAAAAAAAGTAATAGATCTAGATCTAGATTTAAATGTATTATAATTTATTTATCTCTATCTGTCTGTGATGGTCCCTCCCAGGGTCCCTCCTTATCGTTGCTGCCAGTTACTGCAGTTTAGAAATCCGCTTCCTATTATTTTTGACTGTGTGCAACTGGAATAATGACACTTCACAAAACGTTCATTCAACACGAAGCAAGTTGGGAAACACTTTGGCTACATTTTCACTTGTGGATATCTGCTAGATTTCTAGATGTACATGTAGACTAACTTTACTCTGTGCTGATGGGACAATACTGAAACGAGTAAAAAAACAGCAACCCAGTTTCTCATTTTCTTTACAGTAGCGGCTGTGCTCCCTAACCCCGGCCGGGACAATGAGGGATGCAGACCAAGGCACACTTCCCCAACTCTACGATATTTTCAATGGAGAGGTAGGGGGACTTGTAGGCAGAGAAGGAATGCCGCTTATTAAGTCTCATTTGTTTAAAGCCAACTAGCCCAACCCCCCACTCCTATTCTGTCCCTTTAAAGTGCATTTTAGGTGCGTAGATTATTAGACCCAATGTACAACAATAACACGTTAATACTTGCATGGAGGAGTTCTTGAGAGGGCCTGCAATTTTACCACAATTTAATGTTTTGCAGTTGTTAGGTTTGACATCTTAGCTTGCCGCGAATCAAACGTATATATATAGATCTAGATGTAGGTCAGGCTCTATCAAATAAGGGGGGTGGGAACTACCGAAAAAGCGCCACCATGACAAGGTGCACTGAGCAAAACTAAAGAGTTAGGGTTAGTGTTGGGGTTGGGGTTAGGTGTTGTTGGTCAGCTGGCCATCTGCGGAGGAACTCCTTCCCATTTGTTTTTGTAGCACTTTACTAGACCCAAACAACACTTATGCGTTGGTAGGCTACTCACATTATATCATTATAGATTTAGGAGATGAACCTAATTGTCAGCTTCTTAGCATGGCAAGACGCACGTTCTCGTTAGGATACCTGTGACTGTTACGAAAAACAAATTCATGGAGAAAGGATGGGAAAAGAGGGTTGTGGCGAACTGTCTGCGCAATTTCCGTTTAGCAGCGTGCATCTATTCATTTAACGTGTTATTGTTGTACATTAGGTTTAACAATGTGCTTTAAATATATGCAAGTAATAACGTGTTTTTGTAGTACTTTTAGTCTAATAATTTATGCCCCTAAAATATACTTTTACCTCCTTATTTAACCATATAAAATATAATCATATATGGTATGGTCTTTTACTCGTCTCATTTGCACATCATGTTGCCTACTTTGCTGTCCTCAACTTTACATTTTTAGTATAGAAAAAAAAAGCAATAATAGGCCATATGATTTGTCCTAATAGTTTGGAATATTATATTAAATGGATAAAAAGTTGTGAACAGATCATTTCTGGACTCTCTGTTCATGGTTTTTGTCTGGGATATTTGGCTTTTATTTATTTATTGAATCTGCATTTTCTGGTTTTGGCCCCTGAGTACTGGATATCGATACTGACTTAAATACTCGGTGTCGATGTTTTATCCGAAAGAGAGCGAGAGACGCGCTGCTATTTTTTAATACAAAATGAGCAGTAACATTTCACATATTTTTAACAAGGCGGGGGTTTTAGGGTGGCTTGCCCCCTGACCTTACAAAAACATGAGTCGATCACACTGATATGTTGATGATCTTTCCCAGTTCTGTACACTTCAACTCTGGATAAAGTAAGGCTTGTCTCAAAGTGATAAAAAACCAGAAGGAAAAGTTGAACAGAACGTCTGCTAGATCAAATTTTTGTTTTCCTAAGTGTTCTATGGTACTTGCAACACACTTAGGTCATATAAGTGCCGAAGATTAAATCTGTTACAAGAGAGTAACAAACACAAAAAAGAAGAAAGGGAGATAAGGATGATAGGTGTTTATTAGGAAAGAAGGAGCAAACCATACCAAAGCACCCGCCAACCACCCACAGATCAAATTTATCCGCTGTTCCCTTCCTTGTACAAATTCCTGTTCTTGTCTCTGCAGGTGGCCAATGTCCAGACGTACGGAGCGTTTGTCAAGATCCCAGGATGTAGGAAACAAGGTAACTCGACACACTAATGTTACAGCAAACTACGCAGCACGTTATTTTGTCGCATCAGGTCGGAGTGTTTGTCTTGTTGTGTCCTAGTTTTTGGTGAGAACAAAGTTTGAGTAGTTTAGGTGAATAATGTGGTATTGTGAGAATTGACGTTTGAGTAGTTTAGGTGAATAATGTGGTGAGAACCGAGGTTTGAGTAGTTTAACCCTATCCATGCGTCGTGTTTTACTATCGTATCCATACGACATGGGGAACTCTGTGGCCCCACTTTCCAAAAAGGAAATTTGCTTGTTAATCCGATCCGTATGCTTAGATAACAGTCTGTCAGAATGATTTTTTGAGAAATACTGAAAGTTTCAAAGAGATCTTTGCACTAGAAGTATTCTAAAATCTGAAAAGTACAAGCGTAGGGGTACAAAATGACCCCAGGCGTATGGGTAGGGTTAAAGGTTTGAGTAGTTTAAAGGTTTAAGTAGTTTAGATTTATAATTCTGTGAAAACCAAGGTTTTAGCAGTTTAAAGAATTGGGTCGTTTAAATGTTTGAGTAATTTAGGTTTATAATGTTGTGAGATCCAAGGTTGAGCAGTTTAGATGAATAATATTGTGATAATTTAACAGGCGTCCTGGGTGCAGTGGATTGCAGAGCTTTGTCAATTGCAAGTTTTGCATTTTTGTGGCACCTTTTTTATTTCCTCAATTACCAGGAGTTTGATTTTTACAGAAAGACATTCTCTGTTCTATACTGGTATTGTGAAAGTGTTTCCCTGGCCTCGACTGTGTCTACAGCTAATGCTGAGACACACTAATTGACAGCTCAATTGTTAAACAAACACTGTGCTAAAGGGAAAGTTTTAATTCTGCTCCAGTGTAGGCTTTTGTATGGTATCAGATTCTGTACTGCTCCATTTACAGGCCATTCTCAGAGGCCCAACGTTAACAATGTTGCGACTACGTACATTTCAAATAGTCACCTTTGGTGATTTTTTCCCCTCTGAAATCAAAGCAGTAGAAGGTGTGTCTTTTCTGACATTTAAGATTAAGTAGAAAGATAATTTAATCTCTCTCCTTCTCTCTCTCTCTCTCTCCCTCTCTCTTTATATGCATATATATAATTATATATATATATATGTCGTGCGACACGTTTACGAGAAACTCCTCTTGAAGAGTGGGAATGACAATCTTGTAATGAATGATGTTCTTGTGCTGGCTACTTTTGACTTTTGACATCAACAGTTTTTTCAGTGAGGAGAGGAGAGGAGAGATGATTTGAACCCCACTGTGTGTGATGAAGGCATCTGATCTATCTGAGGTTGAAAAACAAGGTTTCCTTTTTTTCCCCCATGTCCAAAGGTTGGCAGCTCATAAGGTGTGACAACCATAATGTTCTGATGACTGAAAACAGGGGACACAAGGCCTGACATCTGGCCTGAATAGTAAGACAGGAGTCGCCTCCCCTCTTTTTGATTCTTCTTCATCAGCAGCATGAAATTTGCTTTACATTTACAGGAAGCAATCCTCTGTTCTCATGAAGTTCTTGTTATCAAGATTTTGCTGTAGTTTCTGATCAGTTTTTATTATTATTATTTTTTGTCCTTCTGTCCATCCCCAGGACTTGTGCACAAGAGTCAAATGTCCAGTGCCAGAATTGATGACCCCTCTGAGATGTTGGCCAAAGGGGAAAAGGTTTACTGCAAAGTCATAGCGATGGAGGTATTACTACTTGTATATGTGTTATTATATACCGTTTACTGCAAAGTTATAGCAATGGAGGTATTATAACTTATAATAATATATGTTCAGCGCAGTTTACCGATTGTATAATTGCGCGGCCATCTTAAGATTGCGCGCGCGTTTTAACGATGGAATAATTGCGCGGCGATCTGAAGAATGCGTCAATATTTTATATTTTTGAAAAAAAACCCCAAAAACCTTTATTCTTTTTTTCACATGGAGGAACAATTTTCAAAAGTAAAAATAAAATTACAATTAACGATAAAACTGAAGAGCTCACAAGAATGATACAATGCCAGGTATCAAATTTGAAGTCACTGCAAGAAAAGCACGGGAGCGACCTTATTCTCTCCTGCATGCGTAGTACTGTTGTGGCCCTTGAGCCTATCATTAAAACGCACAGCGCAAGATAGGTAGATTGCGCAGAACACACACACACATAAATATATATATCCGTTTACTGCAAAATGATAGCAATAGGGGTAGTACAATTTATTTATGTATACATTTATACAGTTATGACTCAGTCTTGCTGCATATTTTTCGTCTTTTGGCAACTTTTTAGCAAATTGTTGTTATGGAATATGTTTGTGATACAAGATAGGCTGATGTTCAGAAAAATTTCCACATGAAAGGGCCACTAAATACGGCCTGGCCGTGGTGTTTTGTAGAATTAGGCCTACTCTTTCCATGTGATATAGGGTGGAAGATGTGCTGTGTGTGTGTTTTTGAGGAGGCTGAATATTTTGACATGGTATTCTGAATCTTAAATATTTTATTGGTTGCATTTGATTATCTTTTTAAAAAAATCATATTATAAACACTTTTGAAAATAATAGCAAGCAATTTGAAGATGATTTGCCATGGTCTCTCTGTAACTAGATAATGATTGCTCAGAGGGTGGTTTGTGGGTGCTCTGGTGTGGTTTGCTACTGCTTTTTCTTTCTTATCGAACATCTATCGTCTTTATCTCTCCTTCTTTTTTTATGTTTTTTACTCTCTTATAACATCTCTAATCTTCAGCACCTATATGACCTTATTGTGTTGCAAGTGCTGTAAAACTCTTACTAAAAGAACTGATTGCTGGTGCTACTGTACACCTCTAATCTTCAGCACTTGTACGACCTTATTGTGTTGCAAGTGCCGTAAAACTCTGACTAAAAAAAACCCAACTGATTGCTGGTGCCACTGTTTCTGTCAGGGAGACGGTGAGAAGATATCTCTGTCCATGAAGGTGGTCAACCAGACGACGGGCAAGGACCTGGACCCTAACAACGTACAGGCCAGGTAAACAAGGACAGATTGTGACGGGGTCGCTGTTTCTGTGTCGTCTTTGTTGTTATGACAACCTCTGTCGTGTCGTGTGGTGTCGTCGATTCTCGGGATAGTGTCTTTTTTGTTTTGTTACTCTCAAGCAGTAGTCACACTTCAAATCTCCGGCACTCATAATATGACCTGTTTGTGTTACAAGTGCTGTAAAACCTTTACATATGCAGTTGTGAGCACCGTAAAACCTCTGCTAAAACTAAAACTAAACTCGTACAGAGACAGAGCTGTAGTGAATTCTGTCCATTCTCTGGCTATCTGACTGTAGGCTATTCTCCTTCACGTCTCCCAAAACCTTCTCTCGTGTTCCGAGAACAGGGAGTCAGGGAGGTTGGTCTATGGGAATATTGATGTGGTCTGCACCTTCTGCTTTTTTCCTGTTCAGCATGTTTTAAAAGTGGCTGCTTGGCGGGTGCTTTGGTGTGGTTTGCTCCTTCTTTCCTATCAAATGTCTATCATCCATGTATATGTCTCCTTTTTGTATTTGTATATTACTCTCTCGTATCACCTCTAATTTT